AACTAAGCCAGACCAATCAAATCTGAAGCTCTTGGTATGGGGTCCAGAGAAGAGATCTTTTATAAGTTTTTTTTTTTTTTTCAGATTATCCTCCTGTGCAGCCCCAGAGTCGATGATTCCTGTTTGTGAGCAATAGTCCTCAAACAGAATCTTGAACAAGTAACTTAGAGGTGATGCTCATGCAAATTCTGTAAAATACTCTTTAAGAAACTGTCTTAAATAATACGAAGGTAGGGCAGGGATAAAAATCCCAAGGCCAAAAAAAAAAAAAAAGTTAGACTGAGACCCTTTTAGACAATATTAAAGTACAATTTGTGGTATTTTTTAGTCTTTCTTCACAGCAAATCATATAGATATAAAGTTTCTTCTAACAACATTTGGGGTATCTTGAGTAAATGGGGAAATAGGGCAGGAAGGCTAAGGCCTAATGAAGATATGGAAGGGGTTGAATTACTGCTGTGTTAGAGAACTGGACTTAACTAAATGGAGACATATTCTGAAAGTTACCCAATTGGGTCATCTGGTTGTCTCAGGCCATAAAAATGACCTCCAAAATAGCCATAAGGGCTCTTTCCTACTTCTTCCCCTTCTAACTCCTTAGAAAATTCCATCTAGGTCTGCTGTATATTTAGAAAAAGGATCAATAATTCTTTTGTTAAACTGAATTAAAAATAAATAAAACCAACATGAATGTTATTTAAATGCTACGTTATTCCTCTTTGACACTGATAATTAATATTTTATAAATGTGTGAATGAGCAGCGAGAAAACAAAAATGTATCTCTATTTTACAATTGTATACACTGCAAGGAAAAAACCTATAAAAAAAGTAAGGTTAAAAGCACACATACATTATGCAAATGCCCACAGACCTCTCCCCCAGATTCATTTACCCTGTAGGCGGGTGACAGCTACAGGCTATCTTTTGCATTTATAATTCATCCTTGCTTACCTTTACTTTTGAAGGAAGATGGATAAGGTCTTTCATTACATACCAAATGGATTAAGAGATATTAAAAAGCAAGAATCAATAGTATTTCATAACTGGTTTGATTTAGAAAGTGGAAGGAAAACAAAGAATTAAATATGACTATAAGCATTCACACCCAAGAAGCTGAGCAGGTAGTCAGAAATGTGTTCATTCGTTCTTTAAATCATTCATTCATTCATTCATTCATTCATTTTTCCATTCAGCACATCTTTGTCAAACAATTTCTGAGGGCAGTACGCTGCATCAGTCACCGAACAAGCTACCTACAGCCTCTCTGTAAAGATACGATAAAATTGGAAGGGAAAGACTCACATGCTGTGAATAGTTAAGTAGTAATAGAAGAGAATACAGGATTGGGTTGAAGAAAGAACTAATGCAGACATGAATTAATAGGGGAATACAAAAATAAGATCAAAGTGGGTGGCAGTACTGGCATTGGGTTTTTTGGAAGGTAAGGAATTAAACTGGTCTGTGAACTCAATTCACAGTGAGCATTTGTGAAGTGCCCATTATGAGCACTGTACCAGGCTGGGTGAGGTGGAGGAAACGAAAATGAACAGAACATGGACTTTAACTGTCAAGGACCTTCAAAACTAGAATAGGAGGCAGACTTTCACCTCATAATATAAAGCGCAAATGGTTAAGAGTGGGAAGGGAAGGGTCACTGGAGGGCCAGGGAGGGAGAATGGAAAATAACAGGGACAGGGGACAGAGTATCAGAGCAGGCTTTCGTAGAGCTGCTGTTAAACCAGTTATGGGATGGGATACTTTTGAGGCACCAATACATGACAGTGAAAGAGTGCCTCCTATCTTTGAAGAGCCACTGGATTTAGCAGTACTGACTAGAGAGGAAGCGCAGACAAAAGGAGGAAGAAGAGTGAAAATTCAGTGACAGACGAATCAACTGAAAAATAGTGAGTAGCAATTTGAATGAGGAAATGTATATAAGTTGTTTTGTCAGCTCCAAGGTATTGAAAAAACAAAGTGGGTAGGCCAGAGTTCACAGGGACAGATCCAGGATTTACTTTTGAAAAGGGGATGGGGCATGTCTGGGTGGATCTGTTGGTTAAGCATCGGACTCTGTATTTCAGCTCAGGTTATGCTCCCCTGAGCATAAACTAACTAACTAACTAACTAACCGACTTAAAAAGAAAAAAAAAGAAAAGAGGGCATGGGTATCAGGGCATCCCCAGCCGTTGCTATCACCATGCAGGTACTCCTTTCCATAGCATTCTGTAAACCCCCTGAGCTGGCTCCACCTCCGCTCCACCCCCTGGGTCCCAGGGAACAGAACAGCAGTCATCAGAGACTCTTCTTTCCAACCAATTACCCAGTGTGTGATAGACATTTCAAATAGCCATAGCAGAAGTCTTGATCCATAGTCCCCCAGCGATCCCCCCAACAAAATCATTCTGCTGTCAAGCCTTGCATCTGAATAAATGCTACCCTCAATGATATGCCATTGAGTAGCCAAAAATCTTGGCTTCATCTTCTATTTTTTTCTGTCTCCTGTGTCTGTATTATTAGGTTAACTGGCTCAATATTCATATTATATCCTGAAACAGTCCACCTCTCCATTGCCTCTTCTAGGACTACTGTCTGCATGCCCCTCTTCTCTCACCTATGCCACAGTAATAGCCATGTATCCCTGCCTGCTCCCTTGACCCCTGGGTCCAGCCCCATCTAGTGGTCAGAATGATCTTGTGGCAGTGTCTGTCAGGAAGTCTCCCAGCCTTGTGGAAAACCCCCAGCTAGCAAGAATTCTGAACCCCTTGCCATGCCTCCAAGCCCAGGGAGCCCACTCCCATTCATGCTGCAGCAGCTCTGTAGTCTCTGTCTTCCATACTCCTTATGTTATCTTATTTATGCCACCCGTCGGTGCTGCCAGATCTCAAAGGTTTCTTTTCTTTAAAAATATTATATATTGAACCCTGCTAGAATGCACTAGAATGTAAGCATCTTGAGAGTGGGGACTCTTTCAAATTCATCATGTATCCCTACAGTCTAAGGCCTGGCACATGGAAGGTGCTCAAAAAACAATTTTGACCAACTGATGATCACATGGGAATTAGGCTCTCGTTTACTCCCTTAGTAAACAAGACTTTAAGCAATTTTCTATCAAAACTGGATTACAATGATCCCAAAGCTACCTACAGATCCAAAATACTGCAATCAAACAAAGTCCTAGGTCAGTTCTTTCTGTCTCAATGATCATTTCAATCTTGTACAAAGACGATATAGCCTCACGGGATTTGAAGCATTTACCACCACAGTCATTGTCTTCTGCTCTTGCTGTCTCATCAGATCTTCTTGTCTTACTTTGATGGTTTTGTCATTCTCTGCACATCAACATCAAGGAAAGCGACGTGTGATTTTAGCTCCAGCATGAAGATGAACACTTGACCAAGATCACGCCTGAGTGCCTTTCCAGAATACATTTTACTTGTAACAAATATGTATACGTAAGAGATTTATGAAGATCTAATACTTACTGGATTGTGATAAACCTGATACAAAAACTTCAATGGATTTGTTATTAAAATATAGGATTCACAATACACCGAGCTACAAAAGCAGTGCTTTTGGCTGGGTTAACTCACTCAACCCATCGCTTTGGGTTCATAGCTCAGGGTCATATACAACATGCAGTTCTGATTTCTCACCAAGACTTGAGTTAGATATTATGGCACACATATAAGCAGTATGATGTATGTTCATAAATAGTGTATTGTCATTTAGGTAAGAATCCTGAACTAAATTCACTGAAATTTCATTACAATGTATTCTAGGCTAAAGCTACAGAATAATACTATTACAGGACAGAGAGAAAAATAGAGATTGAATTAATCCTGAAATGCTACTGGGAGAGCAGGGCACCTGGGTGGCTCAGTCAGTTATACAACTAACTCTTGATTTAGGCTCAGGTCATGATCTCAGGGTCATGAGATCAAGCCCAAGTTGGGCTCTGTGCTGAGTGTGGAGCCTGCTTGAGCTTCTCTGTCCCACCCTCTCTGCTCTTCCCTCATTTGCACTCTTTCTCTCCCTCTCAAAAAATAAAAATAAATTTTAAAAAATGCTACTGGGAGAAAGAATACATATTCAAAATACTGGAAAAAGTCACAAATACCTCTTATTTTTCAAAACTAGATAATAAGACATTTGTAATTTAATACCTTTTTTTAAGTTTATTTATTTATTTTTGAGGGAGTGTGTGCACAAGTTGGGGAGGGGCAGGGAGAGAAGGAGAGAGAGAGAATCCCAAGCAGGCTCCTCACTGTCAGCACAGAGCCCGACGCAGGGCTTGATCTCATGAATGCTGAGATCGTGACCTGAGCCCAAACTGAGTCAGATGCATAACCGACTGAGCCACCCAGCACCCCCAAAAGTTTGTAATTTAATTGGCTTTATAAAAGATAAAGAAAACACTGGAATGTCATGCTGGTGTTACTTTAATGTGAAAGAGTGTCTTTTCATTCTTCATTTCCACCACATACCAGATTGTGATCATTTGATATAATCTACTTAGTATGTGTTCCATCTCAGTAAGATCATGTTTGTCATTGTTATGACACTGGCGAATATTTCTACACAGACACCAGGGAAGGTTGAAATGAAAATGTTTATTTAGAAGTCATGATGCACAAATGGGCAGAAAATAAATACTTCTCAGACATTTGTTATTTTAGACAATGCTTCTCCTCTTTTGTTGTACATTGGAGCAGTTTATAGAATTTCCTAAATAGAAATAATCTCCTTTCCTTATGAATATCCTAAAAGCAGATATATAACTCAGCCATTTTAAAATTGTAAACTTCGTCTTATTATTAATTCTCTGCTATCACCAGATATGCTAATAATAGTCTCTCATACATGAAAACTTTGACACATTCATGAAGTGTCCATTTCTCACTGAAAGAAATATCTGCTTTTCACATTGGTAAAACATATTTATGTATTCCCCAGGTACTGCACTGCATAAAACGGAAAGTGGTTTCATTTCCCATTTATATTAAGAGGAATCTTCAAAATGTCTTGCTAGTTCACTGTGTTTCATTTTCTCTGTGAATAGTTCATCAAATACTCTCTTCTGCTTTGAAGTAAAGTAGTTTATCCAATCACCCACCGCTCCTGGAAAAATTGGAAATGTATCAGACAAGAACCAATGTAAATGTATAGCATTCACAAAAGCAATCTGTCAGATTTATAATAAAATGCGAATTATTTCATTGCTTGGTGATAAGATGATGGAGGGTATTCTTTTCTTCATTTGCTTATTTGTTGCTTCTAATTTCCAAAGTAATGGTTGCATATTAATATGTACAGTTTAAAAAGTTATTTCTTAAAAAGAAAAGAAGATTAAAATATATAAATGTCCTAGGTTTTATAATAGCAGGCAAAGAAATATCTCACCTAAACTTAGTCAAAACATAAAAGCAGAAAAAAATGGACATAATGATGTCACTTATTTCCCTGTCTTGTGCACCTCTGAAGTGGTAACTGTGCTGATAACATACCACAGGGCTGCGTAATTTGTCTGTCTCTTTTGTAAATGCAAGTACAATTAACATACAGTGTGATAATGACTTCCGGTGTACAGTCCACTGAGTCAACAATTCTATACATTACCCTGTGCTCATGATAATAAGTGTACTCTTAATTCCCTTCACCTATTTCACCTTAATTGGTCTCCACTGGATTCCATTGAGCATCAGGACTTCCTCATTTCTCATCATTCTCTTTACTATAATCCCTCCCAATCTCTGTTTCTCTCATCTCTGCTCGCTTCACCTTCCTTCACACATCCTTTTCTAAATTGTCTTCCCTTTATCTTCTCCCTCCCAATCTTCCTAATCTTTTTCTTGACACTCCCGTGTTATCTTGCTCTTGTCCTCCATTTTCAACTTCTTGGAAGAGTGGTCCTTATTTGCTGCTTCCCTTCTTTCTCTCTTATCTCTTCAATTCCCTCAATCTGGCTTCCACCGACACCAACACGGAAGCCACTCTCAGAATTCATGAATGATAGACAGCCATGTTGACCCTGGTTTTCTTTGTAATTCTGGCTGATTTCCTTTCTTGGTTTGTCTTGGGCTGTTTCATTCCCATTGATGTTAGGGTCCCTAGGGCTCCCCCTTCTAACCCTTTCTCCACAGCCCTTTCCAATCACCCTGAATTCCACAAACTGCTGATGGCTCCTAAACTGACTTCTGAGTTGAGATCCACTCAACAATGGCCCATTGCCACTATCCAAATTATACACCTCAATGTTTCATACCTGGACTATTACAACAGCCTCTTACTGGACTTTCTGCCTCTGGTTTCACAATTCTTCTAATCAACTTTCCACCTGACTCTATTATTTTCGAGTCCCTTCTAAAACAGCAAATAGATTGGGGTGGGACAGGGGTAAAGAACCCCCTTATAAGGACCCCATCAGAGCTTTTCTTCTCTGGTCCCAATCTTTATCTCCCTCATTCTGCTCTACACATCATATACCACTCTAGCACAGGAGACTACCTGCTCTTCCTATACAATCCAATTCTATAGTGATTCTGAGCTTTACTTCTTGCTGTTAGCTCTTGCTGGAATGTATTTCTTCTCTGTAATTTTCCTGGTAAAGTCTTGCTCATGCTTCCACTCTCAGATCCAATGTCATCTCTCACCTACTTTGCTAGGAAAATATTCTCTCTCCCTTATCCATGTTGCTATTCACATTTGTTTATACTACTGATATAGTTGTTATCACATGGTATTACTGTCTAGATTATGATTTTCTGAAGGACAAGACTGTATTTTATTCAATTGTTGAATCTTAGCACTTAGAAAATAGTTTATTAATAAATATGTGCTGAATATAGTTCTCTCCTCCCCCCAAGCCCTAGTTTAGTAGCTACAGGAAAATAAAAAATGAACCACCAAAAAAGACAAACTTTGCAAACTTAAGGAAATATCTGATCCATGTGAGTTAGCAAATATCTGCTTTGGGAGGATTAAATTCAGATGAGCCAAAAAATGGAAACAAAGGTGTGTTTTCTAGTAGCAAATCTGAATATCTAAATGCAGAAAATTTTGCCATTTTTAGTTAGGAAAAAATTTGAAAAATGTTATAACATTTTTCTCCCATATCTGGATTAAAATTCACATGAATTTCAGGGTCACCTGGTGACTCAGTCAGTTAAGGGTCGAACTTTGGCTCAGGTCATGATCTCACAGTTCTGTGAGTTCAACCCCCCACATCAGGCTCTGTGTTGACAATGTGGAGCCTGGAGCCCACTTTGAGCTCTACCTCTCTCTCTGCCCCTCCTCCACCCCTGCTCACTCACTCTCTCTCTCTTTCTCTCTCTCTCAAAAATAAACATTAAAAATGTTTTCCTAATACTCACATGGATTTCAAAACAATTCTGTATCCAGATATACCCAAACTACTTTTAAGTTAAATGTTAGGAGTTAGTGGGGAAGATGTATTTCCTTCTCTTTGGATTTTCATGCAGGGGAACATCCTAGTTTCTCTGTCCACCCCTAATTGGTACAAGGTGGGTTATTTGGTGAGTTTGGGAAAATGCATGGTCCAAACTCATCAGCTCCCTTCTCTTTTCAAAAAAAAAACCAAAACCATGTGTCATGTACTGCTCTTTACCATACTCTAACTGGGCTGCCTTAGTGCAGGGACAGAACTCCATTTGCCTGTGACTAAGCAAGCATATTTGCAAACTTAGGATAAGTTATTAGCAAATGCACTAGGGTGCAGACCTGAGGCACATTCTTAAGTAACTTTATTTCCATCTGTTTGACGCCTGTGTCTTTCTCTCAATTGGTTCCTAACTGGGCATGGAAATCTCAATGTCTGGAAATAATGCAGTTCGAGAATTTCATTTAATAAGGATTTGCTGAAGGAGAATGATGCACAAATCCACTGTGCAAGCGATAGAGTGCACGATGGTGAAATGAGAGATTAAAAATGGTAAAATGGGGGCGCCTGGGTGGCTTAGTCGGTTAAGCGTCCGACTTTCGCTTAGGTCATGATCTCGCGGTTCGTGGGTTCGAGCCCCGCGTCGGGCTCTGTGCTGACTGCCAGCTCAGAGCCTGGAGCCTGTTTCAGTCTGTGACTCCCTCTCTCTCTGTCCCTCCCCTGCTCATGCTGTCTGTCTCTCTCCTAGAAATAAATAAAACATTAAAAAAAATTAAAAAAAAAATAAATAAATAAAAATGGTAAAATGGAACTACTTCCAAATACAAGCCCCAGGCAAAGCACCACCTCCCTTTATGACTTACCTTTCCTAAATACCAGTTTCCTATTAGTTGTGAGGGCACAGATGGTATGATTTGGGTCACAGTTTTCTTTGGCCGCATTATTTTTCATTTCACTGAATGATGTTTTCTGAGTAATCTTATTAACTTCACTGTCACTCAGATTTATCCCAAGGAAATTAATTATTTTCTTTATGCTTTTAGAAAGATCCTGAGTAATAAAAAAAAAATTTTTTTAGAAAGTGTAACTCATCAAAACACCAAATTAATTCCCTGAAACCTGAAACCAGAATTTATTGATTCCCTGTTTTAACTTAACTTGACTTAAACTTTGATTGTTGACAGGTTAGAAAGGACTTACTTTTTTCATTTCTTCGTAGAATAAAATTAGAATGTTTTTATCATTTTTGTGCTCTTCCCAGCTTAAAACATGATCAAACCAGGATCCATATACAACTAGAAAAGAAGTGAATTGTGTTAATATTAAGCACCAGGGCTTGGCGTCCCGGGGTTCTTCCGATTTCAGCAAAGTATGCAAAGTAAGGCACATAGGTATCAGACTCTGAAGTGAAAGTATTTTATTTAAGAAGTTTTGAATGGTGGGGTGCCTGGATGGTTCAGTTGGTTAAGCATCTGACTTTGGCTCAGGTTAAGATCTCACAGTTCATGGCCTAGAGCCCTGCATGGGGCTCTGTGCTGACAGCTCAGAGCCTGGAACCTGCTTTGGATTCAGTTTCTCCTTCTTTCTCTGCCCCTCCCCACCTTGTGCACACACATTCTCTCTCTCTCAAAATAAATAAATGTTTTTTTTAAAAAAAGATTGTTGAATCACTGTATTGTACATCTGAATCTAATATAATGCTGCATGTTAACTACACTGAATTTAAAATGAAAAATAAAATGCTAATTATATATGTTAATACCATGTCTTCTTCAATAACAATGTGTCATTCATTACATACGAAGAAATTTATAATTAGATTTAATAAAACTCAATAATTAAAAATTAAATAAGATCTTAAATACTTTTTAAAAAATGTCTTCCTTAGAAGAGCTCAATTTTAAAACACTACTGTTTCAACTAAATACAATATTGTGAAATGAAGCTGGATGGCTGTATCTTTTAAGAAAGCTGTGGTGTTTTTTCTTATTTTTGGTAAACATCTTTTTATAATCAGAAGAAATGACAGCAGAAATACAGAGATACACATTTTCCCAATAATTGTGTTCTGATAACTACTTTGGATCTTGGGAAGAATAAAGAAACATTGAAAATTTATTATTTTCTTCCTGTAATGCCATAGGCTTTTTATAAGTTTCTTAGCATAAAAAGTTTATAAATTTCCTCCAAAAAAAGGGGGAAGAGAAAAGAGGTCTATTCACTCATCTTAGTTTAAGGCTGAAAAATACAGTGTTAGGGATTTACCAGTAGTTGATACTGTCTCTTTACTGCTTTGTTAATTTGACAGTCCTAAAAAAATTTCCAGGGCTTGAAAGTAAAGTATTACCATGCAAAATAAATGATCATCAGCAGTGATGATAAAAAACAAAATGTGAGCAACTTATTGTCACCACAGAAAGTTGACTCGCTTGACAATCTAAAATGTAAAACACAGTAATTTAAAATACTACATACACATATTTCCATGCATCCTTATTATCCAAAGATTTAATACTAGCTAATGCCCAAATTATAAAAGAGCCATTCTACTAGCAATGTTCTGAGGATCTGCTGACTATTGATTCATTTAATAAGAATTTATTAAGCCATTAGTGTCTGTCAGACATTGCACTGTATAAATTTTGAACATTAAAGTTTTGAATAAATTGAAGTGTAATTAACTCCAAACTCACTGCAGTTTTTCATGGCTTCAGCTTCTAAGGAAGTAAAGGGTAGGAAAATAACCATAAGACATTCTTGAAACAAGAACTTCTCGGATGGCAATGGTATCATTACAGTGTCAGCCCAGTTTTCTACCCATTGACCTGGAAGGCTGTATAATCAGAATCGGTGTTAAGAAGTGCTGTCCTGATACATCTTCAGTTATCAGCATTCTCACTGCTATTTCAGGGACTTACACAATACTTGATCTTAGAATTACTCAAATTATCATATCAATGATAAGGAGTTTTTCTTCTCCTTCCTCTTCCTCTTCTTCTTCTCCTTCTTCTTCTTCTCCTTCCTCCTCCTCCTCCTCCTTCTTCTTTGTCTTCTTCTTCTTCTTCTTCTTCTTCTTCTTCTTCTTCTTCTTCTTCTTCTTCTTCTTCTAAGTAGGTTTTATACCCAGTGCAGAGTCCAAGACCCAAGGTATGGCTTGAACTCACAACCTGAGGTCAGAACCCCGAGATCAAGACTTATGCTAAGATCAAGAGTCAGATGCTTAACCAACTGAGACCCCCAGGCACCCCAAGGAGTTTATCTTCCAAGAGTGCCACCCTTTATCCAGGAACAAACACATGGTGGGAAGAAGACTGATTATTATACATATTTAGTTAACCAGTTAACCAGTTTCTAGTACCCCAGACTATGCTCACAGTCTGCATGACACCTCCTGTCAGCAGCTGCAGCCCATCCCAGCTCTGGTGGATGACATCACCACCGAAAGTTGCTGGGGCTATGGAAGCCCTCAGTACTGTCAGGGAGCCTAGGCTTCTGTGACCTGCAAACTGGACAGGAAAAGAGGCCTAGTGTCACATCTAGTGGTTAGGTGTAATTGACCTGGCCCATTATAGCTTTTCAGCAGGAAATGCATTCCAACATAACCCAAATAGATTGAAGAATAATCTTTTGGATCATAGCCTGATCATCATTTGAGAGCCAACTATGCTATTATTAACTAATTAATTTATACTCCATCTTGCTCCAGAAAGACTTAAGCCAGCCAAAATTGTCTTAAAGAACTTGGCTGTTGTGTCTTCCTTACTAATATAGAGAATTATACTTTGTATTAATTCTTTAATCAGAATCCTCATTATCCACACCCTAAAGAAAAAATAATTGCCGAAACAAAGACATAAAATATTTATTTTATAGGAAATGCTTTTCTTCACATTCTCCACTTAATTACAGAATTATACCACCTCCAGTATGTAAGCCTTAAGCATCCAGTCTCTTAATTTCCATTCAGTTCATGATGTCATGGTTTGTGAGATCAAGCCCTGTGTTGTGCTCTGAGCTGACAGTGTGGAGCCTGCTTGGGATTCTCTGTCTCTGTCTCTGTCTCTCTCTCTCTCTCTCTCTCTGTCCTTTCCCTGCTCTCTCTCTCTCTTTAAATATACAAATAAACATTTTTTTTAAAAGTCACTGAAGAACATCCCTGAAATACAGTCACATATATTTAACAGGAAAACAGACAACTTTATCTTATAAACAGTAAAAGGTGAGGCTACTCTTTCCACCCAAGTATAATAAATAAAAGCTTTAGTGATTCAGTGACTATCCCCAATTGTCAAGAGGATTTGCCCAGGCTAGATTATCCAATTGTGTAATACTTACATGGCAAATCTCTTTGCAATTAAAAATCTTGAAAAACTATTAATGTGCCTAATAAGATATAAAAAAATCATCTGGAACCTTTTTCTATCTGCACTGTCCTTCTTAGTATACTCTGCTATGACTCTGGATAATGTGGTGGTGGCAAAGGTACATGCCCTATGACAACTAGTTTACTTCCCTGCATATGGGAAGATGGACTGGGTTGCCATCTTTGTGGCTACATTCACAGAAAAATAATCTCTACAACAAAAGCACTAATAAGCCTGCTTTTCCCAGCCCTAGTGAGACCATACCCAGAGTATGTAGAGATGTGGCCATATCAGAGCTTATACAGCAGTGAGAGAGGTAGTGAGCCCCAGTGTGTAATAACTGGAGACAAACATGGCTTTTCTTTTCTTGAGGAAAAGCAGACTCAACATCTGTTTTTTTTTTTTAAAAATAATTTATGTATTTAAGCTGTGCTTATTCCAAAAATGGAATTGAGGCAGAGTGAGGCATGCTAACTATCTTCAAATATTTAGAAGGCTATCATGTGGAAGAGGAATTAATGATCAGGGGAATAGCTTTCTTTCCTGATGAGTTATGCCACAGAACTAAGAGCAAAGATTTTCGAGCTGACATCTGAATTTAAATCTGGGCTCTGCTGCTTATTAGATATGGATTTGAACAAGTTATCTGGCCTCCCAACATCTGCATTTTCCTCACCTGTAAAATGAAGGTCACATCTAGCTCCTGTGTCCCAGTGAGGATGATATGAGATCGTGATGCACAGCACTTAGCTAAGTGTCTAGATCACATAGTAAGATTTTTTTTTTATTTTAACACTACTGAGATGGAATGTGTTGTTTTGAGGCAGGAGTTGGGGTTGTGAACCTGTTGCCCAAGTTAAGAAGTTCAAGTTAAGCCTGTAATATTCTTGGGGATATTACAAAAGTGATTCAACATCAGGTGGGTGTTTTAACCAGATGATCTTTAAGAGAACTGTTATCCCCCAAACTTTATGATTCTATTAAATGTTTGCAAAAGAGGAGCTGAAATATTGTGAGCATAGTGTATTCTTCCATTTGCATTCTCTCCATCAAAAAAAAAAAAAGGAATACAGCAAAAGGAGTGTCATCAATATGGTATTCTCAGCAGAAATTACTTTCTGTTCATCTATATAAAGCCAAGTGTCAAGATCACTAATTCATTTGTTTTATTTGGGGAATGTTTTTTCCCTTTTGTGGGGAAGGGAGAGTTTGGGTTTTTTTGTGTATTGTTTCTGTTGTCTTTTTTTTTTTTTGGATAGAGAGAGTGCAAGAGGGGGAGAGGGGCAGAAGGAGACTGAGAGAATCTTAAGCAGGCTCCACATTCAGCGTGGAGCCTGGTATGGGGCTCCATGCAGGGCTCAATCCCATGACCTGAGATCATGACCTGAGCTGAAATCAAGAGTCAGATGCCACAAAGCCACCCTGGTGCCTCTGTTTGTGTTGTCTTATTTTCCATGTGGGTATGCATAAGGCATGTTTCAGGCTGCATGTCCAGGCTTCAAGTGTATCTTGGTGTACTCCAATTAACATATAATTATTTCACTGACAAGACTAATAATATGCAAGAAAAAAGTGATACTTGATCAGAATTAATCTGTTTTTAAACATTACAACCAGCTCCATAAGTAATTGCAAATACTTACTACCCATGGGTGATAAGAAAGACTGTGAGGAAGCAAAGTGAGAAGGAATGGCTTAGAAGAAAAGAATAATCTATTCAAGGGGCGCCTGGGTGGCTCAGTTGGTTAAGCATATGACTTCGGCTCAGGTCATGATCTCACGGTTCGTGAGTTCAAGCCCCGTATGGGGCTCTATGCTGACAGCTAGCTCAGAGCCTGGAGCCAGCTTCAGATTCTGTATCTCCTTGTCTCTCTGACCCTCCCATGCTCATGCTGTCTCTCTCTCTCTCGCTCTCTCTCTCTCAGAAATAAATAAAACATTAAAAAATTTAAGAAAAAGAATAATCTATTCAAATGTATATCTGAAAATAGGCCATTAGGGTCCATTTGGAAACTGCTTTCGTGTTAAGTGGAACTGTATATTATGAACAGAAATCATTGTTATATTTACCATCTCCTCTTAGGAAAAGCTCTAGAAATCCAGCCCAGGTTTCAATGCCAGGGAGATTGGGGTTATCTCTGTAGTAGTGGAATAAAGAAACAGCTGTATCCTTTGGATTCCTGACGATGTAGATAATCTGTTTAAAAAAAAAAAACAGTTTATTTTTAGATGTCACAGCCCCCCCCCAAAAATATTTTCTAAATGAAAGCAAACCAATTTACGTATACAAACCACAATTTCTTGCTAGCTTACTCAGATTATTAAGCACAGACTCAGGCCAGTGTTTCTAACTTAATGTGTGTAAGAACCATCCGGGAATCTTGCTAAAGAGCACCTTCTGATTCAGGGGGCCCAGGGTGAGACCTGGCTTTCTGCATTTCTAACAACCTCCCAGGTGATGGTGCTGCCAGTCAACCGACCACACTTTCCCAATTTATGTGCTACATGTGGCCTTCTCTTTTTAGCAGCGGACATGAGAAACCCTCGATTAATTTGTAAGACAAAGTTACATTTTTAATACAAAAAACTTTTAACAGAAAAAAGTTTAGTAATTTTATAACATGATTTAAATACACCAAGATTTCTTATAAATTGCCTATCATGGTTTATAAGAATGATGTTTTAGAATTGCATTTTTCTACAATTTAATCCACCACAGAGTATTGAATCTGAGCTATCCTTCTAAGCGACACCAACACTGCAACTGCAATCTAATTCAATTTAATAACTGTTTGTTTGGTCTACAGTAGGACCAGGCAGAGGGGAATGTTCCAGGTCTGAGAAATATCATGAACAAGACAGAAATATTACCAGCTCTCTCAAAACTTGCAGTCAGGTGAGGAAATGCAGTGTTATGAAAGATATAATAGGGACGTACAGAATGCAGTGAGAGCGTCTAAAAGACCTCAGCAAACCAGTGCGAGTCCCTGGCTATTACAGGAGTGTCTTTAATTATGGTCAGCATTGCATGAGTATCAGTTGTCCCACTTACTCTTAAATTGATACTCAGGTAGACACATTTTATGTAGGTTATAAAGTGTTCACTGAATCATGCTGAATATGTAATTATCTTACCGCATTGTGTCCATAGTCCAGGTATTGCTACGTAACTATCTTTCCTTCTGTATTGGGTTCATAGTCCAAGTATTGTGTAAGATCCACAGGAAGGAAGCATGGTCCTCTACTTAAGAGATGTGCAAAGGCCACCGTGCACCAAAATGAAAAGCCACCTTTACCTTCCCTCTGCCCCCACTATTCTCTCTTCATCTCAAGAGATAATTGTGGAGCAACTCAACACTTCAGGCTTTCTTTAATTGCACTCTGCACCCTGAGCAGATTCACAGCACCCCAAAGCTCTGAAAGCAGTTTGAAAATCCATTCACTGCCTTAACAAAAAGAGATAAAGTAGCAGAATTTTAAGCCTTAGCTCTATCCAGTGGGAGTTTTTTGTTTGTTTGTTTTGGTAGAGAGAAGAGTCTTTCAGGGCCTTTGGAGAATACCCAAAGTTATATGTCAGTATTATCAGTGGGAAAGACAATGCAAGCTATTAATACATAATACATATTTTAAAATAATGCATTTGGGGGTGACTGGGTGGGCTCAGTCAGTTAAGCATCTGACTTTGGCTCAGGTCATGATCTCTCAGTTCAAGGGTTTAAGCCCCCCATCAGGCTCTCTGCTGACAGCTCAGAGCCTGGAGCCTGCTTTGGACTCTGTGTCACAACTTTCTCTCTGCTCCTCCCCCACTCATGCTCTCTCTCTCTCTCTCTCTCAAAAATAAATAAACATTTAAAAATATTTAAAGAAAAAATGTACTCTGTAATTATGTGTAGCAACATGTTAAGTAGACTTATTATGGAGATCATTTCACAATACGTACTAATATTGAGTCATTAAGTGGTACATCTGAAACTAATACAATGTTACATGTCTGTTGTACTCAAGAAATACACAATATTCTATCAAATATTAGGGTCTGGTTAAAGATATGAAGGGAAGGCAGAATAATACTCTGAGGGAAAAAATAAATATTAATTAAATATCATATGAGCTAAAGGCATAAATTTCATGTAAGCGAGTTTGGAAACAAAAAAGTGGGGGGGAGAGACAAAGATTGGAACAGAACATAGGAGTCTGAGTAAGATTGAGAGTAGGGAAAGATGGCGAGAAGGACTGATTGTCTGACAGAGCCTGCTGGAGCTAGGAAGGCTGGCATCACCCCTACGCTCTCAGGCTTAGGCAGGTGGCAACAGAGGACAGGTCATCATATTGGGAAACCAAAAGCAACCAGAGACTCTCACTCCCCATTAGGGATGAAAGCGACAGATCAAGAATCCAGGCCCAATTTTATGGTACTCTCAAGCCTTTGCCTTTACCCACAGACCTTACCTTGCATTGTTTTTGTTTAATATTCATCGGTAGCATGTTGTAGCTCAAATGCGTTGGAATAACTCTTCTCTTACAATACATGTTTAGCTCTTCAAATTTAGAAATGTCTCCCAACTCAATAGGAGAAGTTAGACTCATGCTAACATTGGGAATGTTCCCAATGACCTCTGCAACCCAGTGGGTACCTTCACACAAAAATAAAACAAAATGCATTTTTTAAATTAAGTGATACTCTTGATGAAATAAATATAGAAAGTTAGCATGCAGTTATAAGAGCTATAAGTGCATTAATTTTCATATAAATTATTATATGAATATAAGTTATTATTACCCCTTGACACCCATTGAAACCTGTTCGAACACTTGAGACATTAATTAACTTTATAGGAAGAATCACACGTTAAAGAGCATGAAGAGACCTTAGAGCTTGAAATACTCTTCAATGCTACATTCACCTCTAGCACCTTCTCCAATTTGCAAATACACAGGTCTTTCAATACCCAGTTCTTACTGGTCGTGCAAGCTCATGTATCTTGCTCTTTTATATACTGTCTTCTGAGTCCCCGCTCCCCTGGCATAATTGTTTACTCTCTCTGTCCCTCCAAAGTAGCACATACCATACTAGAGATGTCACTGCTTGTATTCCTGTCCATCTCCCTATTGCCCCCTGGAAGATGGACACTGGATCTTATTTTTGTTTGTGTGCAAATACAGGGTAGTGGTGTAAACAAAGCATTTGAACAATGAGTAAATGCTATATTCAAATATCACAAAGATACAATCCTATGCTACCATGAAGTCTGGAAGGAATATCACTCTATGTTTATATAAAGCAAATGTGGATGTGCTCCAGCATGGTGGACAATGGTAAACTGGAGTGCAGAAGTAGAAGTTTGGTAGACAGATGCTTTGTTGATTTGAAAGCAATATTCCTAAAAAGTTTAAACCAGGCCTAGTGTCCATTTATCTCACTGTAATCCCACCTCTAAATTTGTTACGACATTAACTACTCTACAGTTGAATAAATATTTAGAGCTTAAACAGGGCTCTCATTTGCATGATATGTTTTAAATTAAAGACTATTTTAGATTATAATGTTAATAGGTCCAATATTTATAATATTCATATAAACATGACTGATATTTCTATCATTTTCACAAAATGTATTGATTTATTCTGGTGAAGAAGACAGAATACAGTTTTGTGCTGCCGAAGGGGACCTCCAGAGCTAGTGAATGATGCCCATTTATAGACACCAATATGTACAGTGAAAGCTTTATATATGGTTGTTTATATAGGGTATAACCTAGCCACCTGCTCAAAGAACCTTAAAAGTCTCATAATTTACTTTCTGAACTAACATATTGACTTAGAATAAGGTATATTTATTCACAGGCTGACCTGCTACATAGAGAGAAAACTGATGTTTTGTGGAGACAATTTTTTAATTTCCATTTGCAGAAGTATTTTCCAAAAAAAATAATTATATATGTGACTTATGTTTATTCTCAAAAAACACCCCTGGAAGATCTGGCTCTGTGTGAATTCTGTGAGGGTCTCTTGGGTCTGATTTAGAGTCAAGTAAGGGGACTAAAATGCAAACACAATTGGAAAGGGTTTAAGCTCTTAGTTGCTGACCCATGCTAACAGGTGTATGCCCCTCTGTACATGTCTGGAAATTACAGCCAGCAGTTAGAGATTATATATCTTGGTCACCTCTCAACATAAAAAATAATATAGAATTAATTTTGACTAGCCCTGGGATGACATTATTCATCATGGTCCTTTTTTTCATGTGCATATAACTCTATGTGGAAATAAACTTTGAAGAATAAGGTATAAAATTTAACACTAAAAACACTTAACATTTGTTTTTATTAGCCCAGGAGAAAAAAATTATTCATTTATAAACCAATCATTAAGTATGAATTGAACTAACACTATTTGTCTCCAAGCCTGGTACAAGTACGAAGAGAACTTATCATGCTACAGATACTATGCTTATTATATATATCAACATCTATATGCTTTAATGAATCAAATAGAAACAAGATCATAGTAAAAGCTCTAATTCCTCCAGTGAATTTTCTCAAAACACAGTTCTCAATTTTCTGATGTCAAAGTTTTTTATTAAAATAAGCATTTAGGGGCTCCTAGGTGGCTCAGTTGGTTAAGCATCTGACGTCAGCTCAGGTCATGATCTCACAGTTCATGGGTTTGAACCCTGTGCAGAGCCTACAGCCTGCTTCAGATCCTGTGTCTCCCTGTCTTTCTGCCCCTCCTCTGCTCATGCTCTCTCTCTCTTTCTCTCTCTCAAAAATAATTAAATAAACATTTAATAAAATAAGCATTTAGGATATTTACATTTCCTATGAAACAATTTTGAAAAATAAATGTTTTATAAAAATATTATTACGTTTCATCTTATTTCTTATAATCACGCATTTTAAAATGTATTTATACATTTAAAATACATTAAAATAAACTTTACCAGATTTTGGATAGGACACCAGAAACACATCATCTTCTCTTGCATTGAAAAAATCCAGGGAATTTAGAAGTTCTTCTGAGCACAGCGTAGAATAGAGGATCCCCTTGAATTTATGAAGAACACTTGGCTGCTTCTGGAATGGCATCTTTCTTCAAATTAATCAAGAAGTATTTACTAAACACTACCTTTACACAAGGCATAGAACAAGTAGGGTCCTTGTTGCTAATCCTAGCTCAGTGGCAGGATAATACTAGAATCACTATGCTGGAGGAATATATATATATGCTTTGCAGCTCTTCACAAGAGTAATTTTTAAACCATAACTAAGCCAAAGTCTACTGCGAAAATGATGCTTTTCTTGATAACACATGTTACAAAATATTTCTTGATAACATGTTACAAAATACTGCCTCCCAACTTGACATTCAGAATAGTTTACAAACAAAGCTATCAAGATCTCAGAATGTAATTATTAAACGAAGGGACTAGAGTTAATTAAATCCCTTTGCTTTAATAAGGAAAGACTTCTAGTGCCTATCATGTATTACGTCACTGTGGAAAGGACTAGAAAAGTTGAACTTCTTGTTAATATTAACACACAGTAGAGGAAGTAGCTAATATGTAATGCGTTGCAGAAAGAGGAGAGGAGTGGCACAAGAAAATATAAATTTTTCTTGGAATTGGCAGATAAATTTGTGGCTAAAGCTAAACCTTGCAGGAAATACTTAAAGAAAGATAATAACATGGAAATCAGGAAACCTAACCCAGAAAAGAGACATCTTGAGCTCTGATGTATGTGGGAAGTTTATGGCTGAACTAAGCAAAATTTTGTCTGAGTCATTCTTAGCTTCTGTCACTAATATTGTTATATTCTGGTTTCGATTACATATGACAACAAAGTCCCCAATTACTTCTGTGACCCCTAGTTGAATTTCTTTTGTTTACTTGTCTAACCATCAAAAGAAATGAATATCAACAAGGAAATGACCACCATTTTAATTGAGCCTAAAAAACTAGAGGTCTACCGCAAAGAAATAATTGAAGAAGGAAGACTTACATGATAGTGGCGGAAATGAAATTCAGAATAATCATACACATTGAAAATCCCAAATAATCTACAATTAGAATTAATATGTAAATTGGGCATAGTTGCTGAATTATGAGGTCAATACTTGAAAATAAATTGTATTGTATATTCTAGCAAAACCAACTGAAAAATAAAGTTTGAAAAACACCACTATTTATAGTAATATGAAAAATACTCAAATCTCTAGAAATAAATCTAAAAAAGATGTTCAAGGCACTGAAAACTACAAAGTATTACTGAAACTGGTTAAAGAAGACCTAAGTAAAAGGAGAAATATACAAAGTCCATAGACCAGAAGACTCAATATTATTTAAATGTCAGATTCTCCTTCTTGATCTATAAAGTCAATTCAGTTTGATAAAAATCCCAGTACGTATGCGTGTGTGTGTGTGTGTATGTGTGTGTGTGTGTGTGTAAACTGACAAACATTTATATGGAAATTCAAAAGCAGCAGAATAGCCAAGGAAATCTTAAACAAACCTGTAAGACTTAAATTGTCAGATTTTAAGCTTTATCATAAAGCAACACTTAAACAGTGTGGCCTGAGCTCAAGGATACATAATAGATAAATGTAACTGAATGAAGAGCACAGAAAAAGACCCACACATAAATGGTCACTTGACTCATGACAAAAGTATGGATTATACAAAAGTATAATCCATTAAGAAAAAGATGGTCTTTTTAATGACTATTGCTTGCTCAATTGGATCTATGTGGGAGAAGAAAAAAATCTTACTTTACACCATATGCAAAGAAAAATTCAAGACGGATCACAAATTAATTGGGGGAAAAAAGCTTCCAGATGAAAATATGAAGTATATTTTCATGATCTTTAGGCAGATAAAAGTTTTTAAACTTTACCTGTTACCTACCTTGTAGGTAGGGTACTTCATATGTCTGTGAGGCACAAACAAGTTTGATTTGACAGGCAGTGGCTGTCAAATGGTAGTAAGTACTGGATTTTTCTGAAGACGTGACTGGGCCTGACATGTAAGAGAGCTTGTTCACGTGGCTGGCAGTTGATTCCGGCTGTTTACTGTGAGCTTAGATGGAGCTTTCTAAGAAGGTGCTTATATACGTGGTTTTTCCATGTGGCTTCATCTTTTCACAGGATGGCCGCTGCCTATTGAAAGGGGACATTCCAAGAGTGATGTTCCACGAAACCAAAGCAGAAACTATTTGTTTCTTATGACCTAGTGTTGGCAGTCATGTGACACCAGGAACATTCTATATACCCCGTTATTCAGGGTCTTCCCAGACTCAGTGTGGGAGAGGACTGCATAGAGCATGAATCCTGAGATGTCTAGTTGACTGGGGGCCATTGTTCAAAACTGGCTCTTACAGTCTTTTCTGACTTCCAATGTTCAATTTCTCTCTGAGCAGCAAAACCCTCTTGCAACCCACACAGGACCTCTAGGTCTCACTCTATTAGTTGTCAAGGTCAAGCTTGAAGTCTGTGATCTCACTATCTAAATCAGGTCCAGATATCAGTGGAGCTCACTGGGGTCTGTCCTTCTGCTGAAGCTCCTTCAGCACAGTAGAATTCTCCAATTCTATAGACTTGTGAGTTAAAGAGGCAAGTTACCTTCACACATACACCCAACACGCAATGGTAAGACAGGATCAAGGGAACAAGACATTTTTATTTAAAAAGGGAAAGGGCAGGAAGCACAAGAATGTCCAGGGACTATTCAAATTTTATTGAGTCTTCTCCTCCTTCCAACAAGTAATTCTCCATGTCTCTAGGCTCTGTGATCTAGGCTCTTGGATCTGACTCCCAGCCGTCTTTCCTCTCCAGTGAGACATAACACTCTACAGGCTGAGGTGATTTTTAACACTGACTCATGGTTATGGAAGGTTGACTTATGGCCTTATAGCTCTTTTCCTGTTCAACTACCTTTTTCCCTTGAAGTCCAAGCACATGGGTGTATTGTTTATTTGTGCTTGTCATGTCTAAAAAACAGTATAGAGGATTTCTGTGATTATGACTGGTGCTCCCTCTATGACATAATGGCCACACCTATAAATATCCCTAGGATAGGTGACCTTCTCTTTTGGGATGGGCAGTAAGGTTCAACTGGAGATGATGCCTTTAAGGTTCTTGGGAACTTTTTATCTAGCAGATAAGGTTTGAGAAATGTGCCCTTAAGATTTCTTTTTACATTAAGATTCTGAAAAGCCTACTGATGCAGAGGCTCAGATGCTTAGTCAGTTAAGTATCGACTTCTCATTTTGGCTCTGGTCATGGTCTCAGAGTCATCTGATTGTGCCCAGTGTTGGGCTCCCTGCTCATGTTGTGGAGACTGCTTGAGATTCTCTCTCTCTCTTTCCCTCTTTCTCTCTCTCTCTGCCTCTCACTTGCATGTGCTCTCTCTATTTCTCTCTCTCTAAATAAATGCATAAACAGTTTTGAAAAAAATCAAACCCTGTGCCCTACCTATGAGGTCTGTGAGGCACACACAAATTTGATTTGACAGGCAGTTGCTGTCAAATGGTAGTAATACTGGATTTTTCTGAAGACTTAACTGGGCCTGACATGGAAGAGAGCTTGATCACATAGCTAGCAGTTGATTCTGGCTGTTTACTGTATGTTTAGATGGGTCTCTCCATCAGAGTGCTTATATACATGACCTTTCCAGTATGGCAGCTGCCTATTGAAAAGGAACATTTCAAGAATGAGTATTCCAAGAGACCAAAGCAGAACTGTTTTTTCTTATGACTGAGTGTTGGGAGTCATGTGACACCAGTGACATACTATATACCCAGTTATACAGGGTCAGCCCATTCTGTATGTAAGAGGACTACACAGAGCATGAATCCTGGGGAAGTGTAGTTGATTGGGGGGCCTTTGTTAAAAACTAGCTCCTACAGTTTTCTGACTTCCAAATTTCATTTCTCTCCTAGAAGAAAATTGCTCTTGCAACCTTCGCAAGACCTCCAGGTCTCACTCTATTTGTTGCCAGGGTTAAGCTTGAAGTCTGTGAAATCAGTATCTAAATCAGGTCCAGATATCAGTTGAGCTCCTTGGGGCCTGTCTCTCTGCTGAAGCTCCTGGAGCACAGCTTCTAGAGTATGATTCTCCAAATCCATGGACTTCTGAGTTAAGTGACAAGTTACCTTCTCATACACATCCTATACAAAATGGTAAGATAGGAACAAGGGAACAAGACATTTTCATTTAAAAAGGGAAAAGACAAAAATCGCCTGACAGTGGACTACAGAAATTTTATTGAGTGTACACTTCCTCTGTACAAGTGTTTCTCTATGGATCTAGGCACTGTGATCAAGGATCTTGGTTCTGCCTACTGAGCCATCTTTACTCTCCATTCAGAAATAACACTTTGGCACCTGGGTGGTTCAGTCAGGTAAGCATCCAACTTCAGCTCAGTGCATGATCTCAAGGATCACAAGTTGGAACACTACGTTGGGCTCTGTGCTGGCTAAGCTCCGTGTCCCTCTCTCTCTTTCTGCACCTCTCCCACCTACTCTCCATCTCTCTCTGTAAAAAATAATGAAACATTATTGAAAATTCAAAAGAAATAATACTTTAGCTCCTGGGCTGATTTCAAAGACTGACCTATGGCCATAGAAGAATGACTCATGGCCTTATAGTTCTTTTCTGTTGAACTGCCTCTTTCCCCTGAAGTCCAAGCACTTGGGTGTATTTGTTTATTTGTTGGTCTGCTTGCTTAAAAAGCAGAATATAGGTTTTGTGTGGTTATGACTGGTGTTCCCTCTATGACATAATGGTCACACCCATAAATATCTCTACGATAGGTGACTTTCTCTTTTGGGATGGGCATCCACAAAATCATAGGAAGTGTAATTGACTGGGAGCCATTGTTCGAAACTAGTTTTATACTCTATTCTGACTTCAATGTTTCATTTACCTCCTAACAGCAAAATCCTCTTGCAACTTTCACAAGACCTCCAGGTCTCACTCTATTAGTTATCAGGGTCAAGCTTGAAGCCTGTGATCTCACTATCTAAATCAGGTCCAGATTATCAGTGGAGCACTTTGGGGCCTGTCCCTCTGCTGAAGCTCCTTGAGCACAGCT